CGTTAGACCCCCAGGGGAATACATTCATAAATATCTTTCTAACCAAGACATCTTCATTTTGCCTACTGATTGTAGAATATATTCCTTCACAATAATTAAGAAATTTTAATCGGAAAAACTGATTTGAATGGGACACATTAGATTAATTATACTGAAATACCCCAGCTTAAAATACAATCCGCAACGAATATGCGCTCTTGGCACAGAAATCATGTGATATCCCTACAGAATAGTTAATATTATTAAGTACAAGTAACATAAAACATAAAATTAACAGGTGTAAAACATAATTTTTTCGAACAGTTATCAACTTGCAGCGTTTCCCGGTCTTAACAGTGTTTTGAGTGTGTAATAAAATTGCACCTTAGGTTAGGCTATCTTTAGTTAAACTGGTAAAGGATCTCGTATCATAAACTAGTCTAACCTAAGGTAGACGTATAACTCTGTTATTCTTGAAGAAGAGTACCGCTAGACCGAACACTGCCACAATTATTTGAGAATAGATCTCATAAATACTACAAAAGAAGAAATGAATAACCGTGGAAATATTACATTATTTTAGAATCTGTAAAATAATTTCATTCGCGAAAGCAGTCCCTATCGTAAAGCTTCAGTACGCCTCCTTTAAAACCTCCCTGTCTCTCTTTTCTGCCCCTCCTACTCTTTTGTTTTGTTTAGGTTAGCAGTAACTGTACAAGACCAGACATAATGATTTATCTCCCCTATGGAGGGTCAGTATATACATAAACACGCTCCCCCTAAAAAATTCACATAATTTATAACGTTCTGCTTTAGAAAACAAACGCTTATCTTTAAGGTTGCTTACGTTTAGAGAATTCTCCGTTTATTTTTATGCAGATTCTACCATAGGGAACACCAATAAGTAACACCTTTTTGTAGCACTTTTCCATTCTTTGTATCTGTAGTCTGCCCATGTCAGATATAAAACATACGCAGTTTTGTTTTTCTCTGAAAGTGACGTGAAAGAGGGCGGATATAGACATCTCAGATGAATCACACATTTCAAAATCCGGCGAGGGAAGGAAAAAAGAACGAAGAAAGTTTCTATAACAGTGATTGATTCATATGCAGTAATCAATATTTCTTGCTGAAGGAATCTCAACTACATATGTTGAAAACTTTATTGTTAGAACTATTACCCACATCTTTGTACTGAAAATTTAATTTCTAAACTAACATTAAATTTTCTTCAATTTGTATTTCTTATTGTTTTACATTAAATGACATTAATTTAGATGTTTCATTGTTGATTACGCAATTCAGGTGTGCTTGCTGCCTCAATCATCGCAACATCCCAGAAGCCAGCCATCTTTATTCTCGTCGCCGTGAGAAACTGACAAGTCTCTCAGAATAAAATACTGTTTAGGATTTGAGGTTTTCACGGCGGTGGGTCTGAAAATGGCTGTCTCCAACATCAGGGCACGCCCTGATGTTGGAGACAGCAAGGGCCACTGAAACGTTGGTAAACTCCTACCAGATTACACGGCGAAACAACTCAAAAGACAGCCATCTTCATAAAATACTGTTGTTCTATATAATGTAACTAATTCTTTCACGAATAGACGAGAGCCCTGGGTGTACGCTAATAGTAAAATAAGGAATTAAGGTACTCCTATCCACAATGAACGACCACGGTCTCTCAAGAATTCAGGACTTGGATGAGCAAAACTGAAAAATTAAGAGAATATGCAGAATGTTTCACAAAAATTGTCATAAATATTTAATTATAGACGTATGTGGATACTTGAATACTTTCTGATGTTTGAGACAAGATCTGGAAGCCCTAGGAATAACCACATGTTTTTAATCAAGAAATCTAACGACATTAACATATCTCTGTTCGGGTTAAGACAGAATCTTGCAAGTAAAGCCTCCCATTGAGAGTATGAAGGTTTCTGGACGCGTTAGACAAGCGATAGCATGATTGATGAATATGAGCGTATTCAGAATGGGCCTCAGTGCGTATGCATATTACATGTGAAGTTGACAACGATTCCTGAAGCGTGAATGCGAAGTCTTTCACACCCTGTCACAGGATTATCTATCACAAACTTCAACATCAATAAAACACTAGCAACATCAGAGTAGCATTAGTAAATAATGCCGCAGGACCTTCAAAATAAAATAACGATCCACTGAGGGTTTACCTAGCTTGAGAATATATCTGTATATGTTGAAGAATATTCTGTTCATAAGATTCAGAAATATTCATCATGAATATCGACGAATTTATATGCACAGATGTTAAGTCTGTTCTCTGAGTTTGTGTCAATAAACGGTTTGGTGTAACAGTAACGTCTCGTATTTATACTCAGAAGGTGGCAGGTTCGAATCTCTCCTGAGCCATTAGCTATCATGAATAAGGTTCCAGTGGGCATTCTCAGACCCCTCTTGACAATGTCGAGATATTAAAATAGACCACAATATAAGTCTTTAACTCTTCGATGCCGAAGCTAATCTAAATAGTGTTTCGGAATTCAGTCCGTACTGCAAAGAAAACACGAAACTTCTGTATTATACAGTTCAAGTGGTCAATGCTGTTTACAGAAATAATGCCTGTTTACACTGAGAGTCGCACAAGAGCCATAAACACAAAATAAAGAGCTAATGATTATTATAGCAGCTGGTGTTTATAGTTACCATTAATCCCAATGTGTTAAACCCATACCACGTACTGTGTGTCTGATATGCCACTGTCCGCTCTTTAATAGTTAATGCCCCTAAATTACATCAGATACTGTAATGACGTAACTATTTCAATACTTAACTATTACCATTTATGATTCAGGTGAAAACTGGCTGAAAATTTAAGCTTTGTTTATCGAGAAAAAATGCTTTTAATGTTGGTGGGACGTAAATTACGGCAAGCAGTCATTCATTACGAAGATGGTGGACAGATACACACTGCTTGATCCGAGAACCATCAAAAGCTGTCATATGAAATTAATGATGAGTTCTGTATCAAACGCATTAACTGATTGAGTCTGGCTTAATGTTCGGTTTCTCAGAACCGCTGATAGGTTGTCGAATACCAATCAAATTACCTGGTCAAATCCCAGGTTTAACGCCTTATTCCTATGGGAATGGGTCAAATATGAATTTTACAAAGGAAAACCGCGGTCCATTAAGAATGTTCAAAATAAAATTGATCTTATTATTGATAATATATATTATCAAAAGACTTCTTAAGAAAGTGCATTACTTAAAGATTACAGAACTGTTGGATAGTATTTGAGGCTATACTGAATTTAAAAAGTAACCGGTAATAAGTAATCACCAATTTAGCAACAAAAAAAATGTTAATATTTTCTAAATCTGAGAGACTAATAATACTTACAAAGAGGGGAATGTCTTATCAGAGTTGGTATGGACTGAACTACTAGTACAGCATCGCTAATCCTTTGAAGCATAAAACATAAACAAATAATGTTTCACCTAAAACTTCAGTTCAAGTCTAAATGAAAACATTAGGGGTTTTCATTCCAATGATAAACTATTACGTAGATAATAATAGCTCTTCAGTTTAAGATTCATATAAAATCTATACATCGTGAACAACATTCAGTTGCTGAATGTAAAAGCAGGAGGTAAACATAATTACCACTTTGATTTAGAGTATATAAACCACGCAAGAAGCCATCTTCCATCACATCGTTTCTTTCTGTTATTATTTTTACAATTTCACAGTTACCAGTATCTGAAGACAGGGTTCTGAGGAGAATATTTGGACGTAAGTGGAATTAATAGGAGAACGGAGAGAAATCCAAGAATATTCTAAATTTGAAGTCTTAGACATATTTATTAGGATAATTATGTGAAGAATAATGAGACGGGTGAGACATCTGTCAAATATGGGAGACCTAGGCATAAATGGTAGGTTAATAATAAGACATCGTTTGAGAGGATGTAAAACCAATTCGCTTGGGTCATTGCAGGAACCACTGACGGACTCTTTCAAACAGTATCATAAACATTAATGTTCCATAACAGATAGCAAATTTTTGATTAGCAGGACTAGTATACTGTAAATAAGGGCTCTGCAACAAGTAGTTAGTTACTTAGTTAATATCAACGACTAAAATAAGTATACGATGTAAATATAGACTTCGTCAACAATTTTAAAATTACTAATAAACTAAAATAGCAAAACACAACTGAGGTTTCATTATGAGAGCATTGAACATTGGTTTAATATTAAATCGATCTCATAAAACAAAATTTCTCTCACGCACATGGGAGATTTTACTATTAACACACTCAATACGGCTGTATTTATTTCATTAGGGTAATGAATCTAATCGAATTTCTTAATATAAAAAGAAAATAGAACGGAAAAGACTGTTATAGTGAAACAAGAACAGTTAAGACAAGACAAAGGAGGAAACTGTTTTAAATGGATGACAGGTCAGTAAACGATGAAGAATAGCAATTAGTTACACCTCCACATAGCATCAAACCTTCAGAAACTGAACGAATTTACGGTTCATACAAATTGCTTTTACTTTGTAGTGAATAAATGATGCAATTTATTAGTGGCAAATATAGAAGACAAAGTGTTGATTAAAGTTATATTTAACTTTGATACCGGAGATAAGAATACGACGACACAAACAAATAAGGTGTACTATCGATTAACTGACGCTGTTTTAAACAGCTATCCAGCTTAACCGCCTTTTCTCCGCGGGTTTCCTCACTTACAGCAATTCTAACAATCAGATGGTTCACAGCCTATGTATAACTTACAGAGTAATACATTTCAGATCCCCGTTTTTGCTTATCTGTAACTTAAACCATACATCATAGCGACTACAGGTTTAAGAAAGTTTCCTGACTGGCGAAACATTATTATTATCGCATAAATCTGTGGTGGTCTGACCTGTCGGTGCTTGTTCATACTTGAATTTACGAATGTACCTTCCCCATTCAACCAACACATGAATGATCTTTCGAAGTGTCCAATTGATATTATCAGTACGTACTTACGTCTCGTGGCTTCTGACATCGAATCAATTGATGTGGAATGATCTTGTCAGCAATGGTCATGTCACACGAAAGGCCCTCATTTGCAAGGCCAGTCACAGGCACCTGAAAATACACTGACTGTCACTTTCTTCGTATGACATTTTGCTATAATCATTCTGACAGAGAAAAATATTAAACATCGATGCAACAACAGGCACAATTTATGTTTACAGCATAAATGAACCCTATGGTTACTCAGCAGTTTTCTCCGTCTCCCTATTAATTTCTCGTTCTTACGGCCAAATGATTGTCCTTAGTATCCTTTCCTCAAACAACTTCGATCTATGTTCGTCTCTTAGCCCGGGTGTAAACCATGGCGACTGGGAGCTGCAACTACGCTCTAACTCCACCGCAACTGAACAAACCACGTGAAGTAATATGGTGCAGCTTACACCTGGGGAACCCGACCGCAACTGGAGGAAGGTTAGAAAATTAACTGCGAAAAAACTCGGCATCCAAACTTCCTGTAAGTTAATTTCCCGTCCAGTTGTACAACTTAGAGTGGAGTAGAAATATCTTTGAGAAATAAATTCGTTCAATTAAGTTAACAGGATCCTTGCTTATACGAGAAGTGTAGTCCAGATCAATTATTCTAGGCGAGACAAAACTGACCATGAGTGGTGCAGGATTCAGCAGTAAATGAAGGGGTGAGTACAGTTCCTCCTCTTTTGGTTATTATTTCTCCCCTCCTCTAACGCCATCACTGGATAACAATGGATCAACACACATAGCGTCGCTTATCGTGAACGAAGGCACTTTCCTTTGAAAAACTATTGAGTAACTGACGCATAATCCGTTTTCTCTATGAGCACGCATTCAAGAAGAAGTTTTCCCACCGAAAAATGCGAATACTTGACGATGAGTTGCAATTTCCATCTGCTTTCGTGTACACCCGGCCTTACAGCGAGGAAAAAAAGTTTTACCTACTGTTCGCGACTGTAATCTTGAGACTTGCGGCGTGAGGAAGTGGGGTGAAGGGGGAAGGAGTAAAGACATCGTCTGCTATACAGGAGCCTTTAACGCTTCGGACTTCCTGCATTCCTTGCAAGTCTCAAGATTACAGTCGCGAAACAGTATACAGATCAGCAGACAAATTATATTTCTGAATATTTTCATGTTACTTTTATAGATATTTAATGACAGTGAACATTTCCAAATGTAATTTGCCCTCATAGTCTTCGAGTAAGTAATTTTGATCTGTTACTGCCATTCCCAGATATATGACCTTGTCACATGTTCAATAAATATGTCACATATTTATATTTACTATTTTGTCGCAATAGAAAGACGGAATTGAGCCGCCAATGAATATCTCCCTCCTGTATTCAAGTCATCTGACAAAGGTCAGCACAGATTCCGTCCCTTTCGACCGGCGATCAAAAGCTAACTGACTAGGTGCAGGTATCATACGTCATGTATGACGTGGCAGGGCGATGTGCATTTGTGTGGCTGTCAAGCAGAGGTGGAATCCAAGCGTAATGAAGTGGGGCATGTAATGACAATTTCTCATTCAACCAACAGCTCGTATCACCAATGACTGGCGTTTCGGTAGCAGATACAATTTTATCAAACGATCATTCTTAGGCTTATATTGAGCAGATGGTTTGTCAATGATGAGGGTCTAAATAAAACCCGTTATATAATTTTTACTTTTCACGTTATCTGCCTTCCGTTTATAGCAGTATTCGTTCGTAACTGTGTTGAAGCTTCAACAAACACAGCGTCGTAACTGTCGCATTTCAATATAAATCAGCATGGAGCACTTAAGATAATGTGAGCAACATTGCTTGTTTGCAATAACCTAGACCTAAACCTAAATCTAAGCTTATATCTAACTTAACTTTGGATCACTTTTCTAAAATCTACTTCAAAATCCTAATCTTCCCCCCTCTTTCTGTCACTATCCACCCTTCACACTTTAAGAACTGGATGACAGATAAAAAGAAAGGTCCCACAATTTTTACGCTAAAAACTGGGCATGTTCCTTCTTATATTGATGACAATACGCAGTGGCAAATCCATTCAAAGAATTTTTGTTCGAGGAAAAAAGAAATCTCTAAAAATTGCATAGCATATGTAACGAATATTTCCGTACTATTATTTCAAAATTGTTTATATGATTTTTGAAAATTAAATACCTATTAACAAGTGCGCAGTAAGACGTATTCTGCAATGTAGATATCGGTGCACCAAAATGAAATCCAGATTCATCTGCAATGGAAATCCTGCTCGGCACACAGGAACCAGCCTGCAAGTGGCCTGGTCAGTGACTGCAAGGACGCTTGCACGCGGTATACCACATCGTCCGCCAGAGGCCTACTTGTACATGGACAAAATAATATCACGCTTTCAGCTGTTTTCATATTTTTCCTTTAAGTTTATTTATGTGCACCTGACACTGCAATAAATATCAAAGTTACTCGATTAAAAAAAATATAGTCAAGTTGTGAACACAACATGAATAATATCCTTTTCATTAACCTATGTCTGTAACCACACCTTCGTCTTCATATAACCATAAATCTTAGCAATCACACCCACCAATACACAATATGACGTTCATGACGTCAGAGAATATGCCGCTGACATATCCAAAGGTCATCTGAAACGAAGGGCAACTGAAGATAACCGAGTCTAATTTTAAACTGAAAGATTTATGGTTGAATTACAAAATCATTGCCGACAATTTTACCGAAGACGAGTAATAATACGTCAAAGGGCAAAACGTTTCCGATTAGAACAAAAATTAGGGAGAGTTGCTAGTCGCGTTCTGTAGTCCAGTCAGTAAAACTCTGTTCTGTAAATGAAATAAATTCATTTCTTAATGGTGCAGGAAGATTCAGAATCTGAAATCTATAATTTCGAAACAGCGGGCTATATGTTATTCTGGGCGCACAATGCATCATGTAATGACCCACATGAAATATTACCTTCGCGTAAGGATACGAACGTTAACGACAGAAAAATCTTTGGATGCCTGAAATTCTTAAGAAATGTTTCTCAAAATATTCCTTCTCACCCGTGAATTCCTATAGCGACAAAAGAGTTCATACTTTCTCAGATATGTTTAAAGCAAGGTTCTGAGGTTGTCAGTGGGCATTTTCATGCCTAGACTGAATTTACCAAAGTATTTACAAATCTAAAATTTTGTCTTTTTTTAAGTGATATAATTCTTTTCATTATTTTAGGTTCTCGCTGACGATTACAAGGCCTTTCGCTGGCTTCTAAGAATGGAGTGAGAAACGGAAATAGAAAAGGCGAAATGATGGAAGACAGAAGTAAGATTGTGAGGAACAGTAAACATTCCGGTTAAGATGAGTGATGCTGTGAGCAGCTGGACAGGTGTTTCCGGCTGTTTGTAGCGGCTGTATAATCAGACGTTGCCTCATAAGACAAGTGCTGTTAGACACGTAAGAGTTAGTACTACTCACGTGACAAAAATAAATACTTCCCTTTCGTCAAAGTTTTTGTTTCAGAGATCAACGGATTACAATTAAATCATATGCAGTGTATCTACTCTGAGTTAGCTTTTAAAAATGAGACTGAAATCAACGAAAAAATGTTAAACGTGAAGCAGTATCTGGAAAACAAGTTGAAAGCAAAAGGTTAATTTACGATGTGGGTATTTGAGTTAATGTTTTAAACTCCATACATGAATTAAAATATCAAATCTGATTTTGACAAGGCCGTCATCTGTGAATTACTAGCAGGCACAATATTCCAGAACCATATGTTTTGGATATCGGTGTATTCAAAAACAGTTTATTTTACATGCAATTAAGCCCCTTGTTTCTTTTACTTTCCCAACGATGTTAGCTTTTCAGATAACCTGACTTCAAAGGCTAATTTCATAAGATGAAATTCAGTTTATACAGCCCATTCATCGCCACACCCTACCTCTTAAGTCGTATTTAATATTATTCTCCCATCTAAGCCTACTTTTTCCAACTAAAATTTCTATATATTTCTCATACACGTTTAGTTTAAAGTTGCAATAAAGTTTCTAGTGTTAAAGCAGCAAAGCTATGAAGAACACTTCCCAAACTTCAGGAAGTCCACATTCATCGAACCATAAAGGAAATAAGATTACATTCTGAAACGCGGCTTATGGTGCATTTTTTTATTAAGCTCCCCAAATGAAAGCAAAATGTTGTAGACAAATTCTTTTCAATTCATAACTGAAGTGAAGATGCCACATTCTTACTTTACAATGAAGTTAGATCGTAATATAAATGATGGAATAAAAATAACGATGACGCTTAAGGATAGTAGAAAGCGTTAGAATGTTCTGATATAAGAACAAATGGAAGTGAGAAGCGATTCAAAAGACCCTGCAGACATATATGTGTCTAGATACACGTGACTTGTGCATTCAGAGGGGAGTTTGAAAAGCTGTATGCAATGTGCACAGAATTTAATAACAAATAAGTGAACGATGTTGAACATGAAACGAACAGTCAGTTTAGGGCGTGAAATTGCCATGAAATTGCTGAGTTATTCCATGACCTGACCCTACAGAGAATTAAAAGAATGGTAACTGAGTGTCTGAGTCTTCCACTCC